TTAATCTCATTCATTCCTTGGCTTAAAATCCTTCAAAAGCTCCCCATGGCTTCAAGAATAGGAGTTGGCAAGGCCCTGCAGAACATCATCTTTCTTAACCTTTCGAACCTGTTTCATCAGTTCTCTCACCCAGTGCCGTCATTTTGGATAAGCGTGTTCCCGCTGGTCTTCCCTAACCCCCCAAGCCGTCTGGTGCTCTCTGAGCTTACACGGTCCCTGGACGTCTGCTCTCACAGCACCCACTGCACTGTCCTGAAATGCCTCATCGTTGGTTTCCCTGACCAGACAACCCATCCTCCTTAAGGCCACTATCAAATCAGAGGCCTTGTTTTTGGTTTGCTCACAGTGCATGTGTAACACAGCAGAGTCCTGAGCATGAGGTCGTCGTGGGAGACACAGTCACCGGCCTGGGCTGAGGCTTGGGGTTGTCCGGGGCAGCATTCAGCCACACTATGGCAGTCACATTCCCACCCTTCGGAAGGAAATGTAATTGGTTGGGGCCTTCTGTGTGGTCCCTGAAGAACTACATAAAAGATAAATTGAACACTGTCAAGAATGCTTCAACAGTACACTCAGTATTCCAAAACGATACGGCAGTGTTGTCTGTGCAGTTTACATCTAAATGAAGAAAATAATTAAAATGACATTTTCTCTCAGGAAATGAACTGTTTTTACATCATTGTATGAAGTAGTAAAAGGACTATCCCATTATCTACTTGCATTCTGCATTTAAATGTTCCCTAGTAAATTCTTTCATAAAGCTGAGCAATTTCAAGCTATTGTGGACCATTTTACCTTATGCAAGGTACTTAATCATTTAACTATAGTAGTTTATAACTAATCATGTAAGTATCTTTATCATCATTATCTGATCCAGAATGGATCAGATATCTGATCCATTATCTGATATATATACACACACACACACACACACACTCTGATCTTATTAAAACTTTACACCACTGTTAGGCTGAGATTTGACATAAAGTGGTATGAAAGAGGAAGTTGATGGTCCTCAAATAGAAGTGTATTTTTTTTTAAGTTTCACTGAAGAGTAATGGACATGCAATGCACTGCTCCCACTTAAAATGTACAACAGATACACGTGCACACCCAGGAAATCATCACCACAGAGCAATGAACACATCCATCACCCCGGGCATTTTCCTCATGCTCTTCTGTAATCTGCCCTTCCTACCCATCCCAGCCAACGTCAGTGTTATATCTACAGATTAGTTTACATTTTTTAGTTTTCTATAAATGAGATCATACAGTACTTACCTTTTTAAAACTCTGATTTCTTTCACGGAGCATAATAATTATAGTTGACATCCCATATTACTGATTTTTTAAATCTATGTGCTTGTTGATCAAACACTGGCAGAGAACTGTTGAAGTCTCAGCTGTAATTGTGGATTTGTCTATTTCTCTTTTCTGTTTTGTCAGTCTTTGTAATTTGAAGCTTTATTACTGTATCTTCTTGATGGATTGACCACTTTATTATTATGAAATGTCCCCTTTTATCTCTTGTCTTGAAGACAGGCCAAATTCCTTTTCCTGAAGTCTACTTAGTATAACATGGCATTCCAGCTTTATTCTGTTTACATAATTTTCCATCAATATACTTTGAACTTATCTGTCTTCATGTTAGTGACGCTTTTTTTCATCAGGGGTGGGGAAAAGAGTACATAGCTGGGCCTTGCTCTTTTATTCACAGAAGTATGTCTTCCTGTTTTGTTGTGAAGATTTCATTTTTAGAGAGAGAGGAAGAGAGGGAGAAAGAGAGGGAGAGAAACATCAATGTGTGTTTACCTCTCCTGCACCCTGCACTGGGGAGCTGGCCTGCAACCCAGGCACGTGCCCTGACTAGGAATCAAACCAGTGACCCCTTGGTTCACAGGCCCACGCTCAATCCACAGAGCTACACCAGCCAGGGCTTATGTCTTCCTTTTAATTGTAGTGTTCAGACCATTTAAAATTAATTTCTGATATGGCTAATATTTTTCTATTTGGCCAATCTACATTTTTGGTGTTTTTTTTCCTTGGCTCCTTTTGGACTAATTTGTATTACTCCATTTTTAATTCCTCTTTTGGATGCTTAGCTATGCTTGTTTTATTATTTTAGTGTTTCTACATTTACAATGTGCATCTTTAACTCAGCAGCCTACCTTCCAATAATACCATATTATAACACACACAGTGTAAGAGATATTTCCAGTTTTCCCTCCCTCCTTTGTGACATTATGGGCATACATTTTCTATGTGCCATAATCCCCACAGTATATTGCTATTATTTTTGCTTTAAATAATCAACTGCAAAATTTAAAAATGAGACTTTTTTAACATTTCACATATATATCTCAGCAGTCTCCCAAGAACAAAGGCATCCTCCTAAAGAATCACAATGGCATTATGAAATCTAAAAAGTTAACAATCATCTAATGTATACTCAGATTCAGATTCAGATTTCCCAAATTAAACCCCCAAATGTCCTTTATGGTTGTTTATTAACATTCTCAGTATTCTGTTAACGTTCCCATTGCATTTGGGTGTTTTGTTTCATCAGTCTTTTTATTTAGCTCCCCTCTCCCACATTTTGCTTTTTAATGCACATGTGTGTTTCCAGTATTTTTTACTGTTATTCTATTACAGTTGTGCCAATTCTTGCCCTTTGCCCTCCCCTGCCCAGCCCGCCCCCCATCCCACATCCTTGTCCATGTCTCTGGGTCATTCACATGCTCTTTGACCAGTCCCCTCCCTTCTCCCTTCCGGCCATTGTCAGTCTTTTCCATGTTTCTGTGTCTTCTGTATTTTTGCTTGTTGGTTTATTTTGTTTATTAGATTCCTCTTACAAATGAGATCATGTGGTATTTGTCTTTCACCGACTGGCTTATTTCACTTAGTGTCATATTTTCCAGTTCCATTCACGCTGTCACAAAAGGCAGGAGTTCCTTCTTTCTGAGAAAGAAGATTTTTATAATTTGCCCACTTTTAAAAAGTCCTCTTTTCCAGATAATAGAATCTCCTTCAACCTGGAAGTTCTGGGGTTATTCAATGAAGAATAATAATATATACTGTAGTCACATGATGGAGCTCTTCAACTGCAAGCTGAAAATACAAAATTCATAACCATGTCCAGGGTCTACAGTGGTATGTTCCATCAGTGGTACCTAACTGTTTATAATTGGTACAGGGTGCAAATCAACAATCCTTACACAAGAAATTCCTCACTTCACTAACATATTCATCATTTGCTGAATAACAATGAGCTTTCAGTGCATTGTCAGTCAAGAGTTGACAATTCAGTTGATAAGATACAACACATCCTTGTGAAACTTTAACAATGAAGACAGCTGTCAAAGGCCACCTGAGCAATACTCCCAAGAGCATATCAGACTAAGAATAAAGCAGAGCCTTTTGAGCTAAACTAATATTAAAAAAAGCTTCACAGAATTGAGACTTTTGAGTTAGGGTATAAAAGATGAATGAAATTTGGATAAATAGGAAAGATGAAGAATTCTTGATGCAGCTCAGCAAGAGTTAAACAAAAAGAATATAAAAATAAAGAGCAAGGTTTGGGGGTGCAAAGATGTTGATGCTTTTTTCACCCTCCTCTGAAATTACATGATTATTCATTTTTAAAGTCTTAATTGCTTTTTGTCCTAAACCTTCAGATTCTCTCTTTTGAAGGGGATATAGGTAGAGTGAATCCGAGCAATGTATTGCAAGTCTCTTAGTCTCTGGGATGATTCATCTTCATGAAAATAACCTCATAGACAATTAGAATTTCCCAGCTCCCTGTTCCAGTTCCTGGAACAGGAAGCTGAATAACTGTAATTGGCATACACATTCAACCAGGTCAGTAAACTTTCTTTTTCCTGGCTAACGTAAGTTGGTGTATTAGTAACTGTATAAAGTTTTCCTGCTGCAACAGAAATTACTGTATATAATGCTCTGCAAATTCTTTTTAAGACTGGGCATGCTCAAGTTCTCCCACTAATTTGCTAGGACTACATTTTCATTTTATCAAATAGAACAAGTACTTCATCTCCTTTCCTACAACTTTTAGTGCTCTAGTATTCCCCTCCCTCTATTTAAGACCTGCCATACCCTCCTCCCCATAGTCCTTGACTTTCAAAACGGCTTATTTGCTCAAACAGAAAAAAAAAAAATCTATCATTGCAAAACAACTTTTCACATACAGCCATGTTTGCACGTTTTGAATCTTTTGTATGACTTAAAGTATGGTAGGTTTCCTGTAAAGACTTCACGGTAATCCAGAGAAGATTCTTTGTCAAAGACACCTGCGTGCACTCAGTAATATTTAATGGCTGCATCATCCTCACCCAGGGGTAAGACAGAAATGGAACATAATGGATTTTATTCTCATCAGAGAAGCTGTCTAGTAACGACTCCAAGGTTTAATGCCTCCAAGTGGCCCGTATGTGATCTATTTTACTCCTTGGGCTGGGGGCATTAGTCAAAGGGGCGCTGGATACCAGGGTCCCAAAGATACCCTCTAGGGCCTAGCGGGCACCACACCAAATCCTTCTTGCTCACGCGGTGGGTGTCCCCTAATTCCCACCTACTCCCTTACAACCACGCGCCAGCCAAGCCCAAAGTCTGCTGTGCTTAGCATGGCCCGCAGCTCCTCCCCAGGGGCTTCCCGCACTGGGCCGGCTTCCGGGCGTGACCCAGGGTCCTGCCCTCTCCAGTCCAAGTGGCTGTCCCAACTATGGGGGGTCCAGAGAGCCCGGAGGAGGCAGGGAGCGCAGCCGATGCCGCAGCTCACAGCGACTGGCCCAGGAAACCCGCCTCCACCTGCACACGCAGGGAAACCTCAACAACTGGTGGACAATGGTGCCCACCAGCCCACCCGAGACTTCGGACCATCATTCAGCCCCTCCCCGGGCGCACGCCCCCGGCAGAGGCGGCTCTTCAGCCGTCTCGCGAGAGCACGCCGGGCGGTACCTCCTTCCTCTCGGCGGCCTTTCTCTCTCCGCCCCAGACTAGTTGCGCGGCTTCCTCCGGTGGGCGGAGGTCTCGGACGTGGCGGGCCGGGCCTGGGCGTTGTGCCCGGCTCCCGGCAGGCTGGCCTTCCCGCCGTAGTGGAGCCCCGGCAGGTCCCAGGCCCTCCCAGGTAGACAGGCTCCGGCCCACGTGACGTTGGGCTGCTGCCGGGCCGCGGCGGTAGGACCGCGAGACTGGGCGAGCGGGCAGCTCACCTGCGCTGCGGGGACGAGGTTGAAGGTGCGCACGCGCGCAGCCGGCTGGGTTGGTGGTTCCTGCGACCCTGCGCAGCCCAGGCTGCAGGCTGGGCGCACTCGCTCCCTCGCAGGGGCGTAATTTCCCAGCTGGTCTGCGTCCCCTTTCCGACGCCTCCGTTAGGGGCGGGTCGGGAGCATGACTTCAGAAATGGAGTCTTCGTTGGAGGCCAGCTTCATGTCCAGCGGAGCGCTGTCGGGGTCTTCAGTGTTTCTGCCGCCTGCTCGCTCCCGCATCTTTAAGATAATCGTGATCGGGGACTCCAATGTGGGCAAAACATGCCTGACCTACCGCTTCTGCGCCGGCCGCTTCCCCGACCGCACCGAAGCTACTATTGGAGTGGATTTCCGAGAACGAGCAGTGGAGATTGATGGAGAGCGCATTAAGGTGAGCGGATGGGGGACTCTCAGGGAGGAAGGACGCCCTGGGATGGCATGTGCCCCAACCCCACAGTTGGTTAAACGCTGGCCTCTGGCCTCGTGCAAGGTGCGTGCACTATCTTTTCTCATGCTGATGTGGAGATTACAGTTGGGGACTGGAAGGATTTGTGTGGTGCAGAGTTCTGAGGCAGCCCTTCTCCGACTGTAAATGTCATGCTAATCACCTGGGGATCTTGTGTTTTTTGAAAGGCAGATTCTGACTCGGTAAGATGCTGCTAGCCCCGGACCCCACTTTGCATGGCAGGAGTGTAGGGGCATCCACAGACTTGCTGTGAGTGCCTTGTGCTGGGAGTCATCCAAGTAAGACCAAACGAATTTTTCAGGAATGGAAAATCTATGTAATAAATACTGCTTATTAAACAGTCATCTGAGCACTGCCTGAGAGACGGGGGCAGTGAAGCCCTGTTGCCTCTGGGGAAAGACCTTGCTTTTGCTACAGTAGTTTCTGCATGACTGGGAGTTGTTTAGAAAAACCTGCAGGAAAACAGGATGTTTTCCTTCAGAAACATCCTGTACATGATAGTTTTTGTGTGGGGGCCGGGAGAACATTCCACCCTCTCCCAGTTCTTTTAAAATTCTTATCGGTGGCTCCTGAGGCCAGGGACACAGAGTGGAGCAGGCAGTAAAGCCAAGGCCACGAGAGGGTTCTGAGGAGTTGGAAGGGGAGGTGGCCCTGGAGAGTGGCGGGGTTAGTGACAAGGGCCAAGGTTCCTGATGGGGTGACTGTTAGACACACTTCATTCTAAGGCATCACTAACTCCTCTAAAACCTCAATCTAATGCTCTCCTTGCAACATGCAGACTCCAGTTTTGTTGGAAACTATAGAAGGTTTGTTGTTGAATTTTCACTCTAATTTTTTCTTGTCCCATTCAAGGTGTAGTCTTTTGGGTGCACTGTGTTAGGGAGTTAAGACTGACTTGTGCCCTGGCTGGAGCATCATTTTATACATAAGGGTTGAGGGTTTGATTTTCATTTGGGGCACATACCTAGGTTGTGTGTTCAGTTTACTTTCGGGGTGGGTGCGGAAGGCAAGCAATGTTTGCAATGTCTGATGTTTCTCACACCGATGTTTCTGTCCTCTTCCCTCTCTGTCTCCCTTCCCCGCTTCCTTCCTCTCTTTAAAATCACATGTCCTGGGGTGAGGATTCAAAAAGAAAAAAGAAGAACAATTTGTATCCATCACAGAGGAAAAGACAGAGTAAGAAAGGGCTGAATATTTTTCGTCAGAGATAGGTTAGACTTAGCAACCCTTGGGCAGATTAAATAAGGGGGCTTGTGAAGTTGGAGAAGGAGCTTAGTTTGGAAGACGCAGGAATTCTGGGAGAAAGTGCTTGGCCTTTGGCGCCGAGCTCACCTGGCCCAAATCTCAACCTGTGAAAGGGTAAGAATCGGCTGTGTGTCCTGAATGGTTTGCCTGAGATGGTTGCCGTTTTGAAACCGGATGTCCCAAATTCCCAGAACCCTCTCAGAGTCAGGTGCATGGGGGTGGTTGGTTGCCCTGGTCCTCAGGCAAGTTCCTTAATCTGTCCGAGTCTGTGTTCTGCCCCGAAACATTGGGGTGCTGCCACCACGTGAGGCTCTGAGGGTCAGACGAGGACACATGCCGACTGCCAGGCCCACGGTTGGCGATGTTTGGAGGAGCCGCCATCTTTCCAGGTCTGCTGTCTTCACTTCGTCATTCCTCCCTTTTTCTCTGCTGTTTGTCGTCTTCAGATCCAGCTGTGGGACACAGCGGGGCAGGAGCGGTTCCGGAAGAGCATGGTGCAGCACTACTACAGAAACGTGCACGCTGTGGTCTTCGTGTACGACGTGACCAACATGGCCAGTTTCCGCAGCTTGCCATCTTGGATAGAGGAATGCAAGCAGCACTTGCTGGCCAACGACATACCACGGATTCTTGTTGGAAATAAATGTGACCTAAGAAGCGCCATCCAGGTTCCTACGGACGTGGCACAGAAATTTGCTGACACGCACAGTATGCCTTTGTTCGAAACCTCTGCTAAAAACCCCAATGACAACGACCACGTGGAAGCCATATTTATGACCCTGGCTCACAAGCTAAAGAGCCACAAACCACTAATGCTCACTCAGCCCCCGGATGACAGCGTTACCCTGAAGCCTGAACCGAAGCCCGCGGTGACGTGCTGGTGCTGAGTGACTGTTTTCATCACACCGTTTGGTTCTGACTAGAGAAACAAGTTTGAAGTATGGCAGTGATCGTCATTAAGATTTAATCTCAAATGCAGTGGGTCATCCTGACGCTTCACTGTTTACCGTCTCCATGCTCACTCTGTCTTTAGGTAATCAGGGGTGCCACTGTGACCACGGGAAAAAAATGCGGTTGTCAGATGAGGCTGAAAATGAAGCAAAGGGAGGACAGTCAGCGCATCTTTCCCTTAGAGCCAGGGAAGGAGGCTTCCAGTGCGGGTCTGCTGGGGGGTTTTGGGTGTCAGCGCCTGCTTGGTCCTGTGTTGAGAGATTGGAAAAATACCAGGGATTTGTTTAGTACACACTTAATGGTATGCCCTTTGACAGGGCGGTTTCTCAGTAGGGTAAAATCCTGTAGTGGCTTCTCCCTGTAGTTCTTTCTTTGTATTATTAACGGATTTAATTGTTATTGGTACACTTTAGAGCCAAGGCTTTGGCTCCAGTGGGAGGAGAAGGCATAGAATGTTCTCTGAGTCCCGGTCTGTAAACAATGACTCTCCCACTGGTTCTTGATATTTCACTCCATATTTCTAGTCAATATCAATGAGTTCTACAGAAATGATTGTTATTTTTAGAAGAGTGATTTGTTTTCTTACTAAATTCTATTAAAATATGCAAAAAGCAGTGAAATGTTAGTGCAGATGAAGCGACGTAATAAGGTGCTTTATATTTTGTTACCGTGTCTTTAAACAGTAGAAAAGAAATGGGAAGCCGGTGAGGAGCTGTGACTTGGGGGAAGTAGGTAAACACGGCTGCTGGCTGTCTCAGGAGACTCAGCTTTAGTGACTTTAAGGTGTGTACCTGGCACAGTGTCCTCTCCCCCACCCCCAATCAGCTTCACCACCACAGGCTGCACCAACAGGTCGTCTTCCATTTGGATTGTAGCTCTGAGGATATACCCTTAACTGCTATGAGTGTACACGTATTTCTGTAACAGTATGTGTCACACACAGTACATCAGTTCTTAAAATCTTTAAATTTTATGGCCACAACATGCTCTTCCTCCTCAGTATGAAAAACGAGTTAGATTAAAGAATCTTGTCTGTCCTTCACTGGCAGAAAGAATATTTGAAACAGTTTTTTCTTACCCCTAGATATTTTTACTTTGAGTTTAAGACTTTGCACACAGAAAGTGGTAAGCTTGCCTATGAAACTGTCACGTGAATGGAACGTAAGCCATGAACTTCAGCCGAAGTGCGCACCCTGGTTGGTTCTGCTAGGGTGCTGTCCTCGGTCATTTTGGAGGGAAGGAAGCCAAAAGATGATTGTACTCAGAATATTTTCAGGGTGTGGGAAACCAATCCAACATGTATCTCATTTAGTTTAGGATTTTTGTTTTATCATCATGGTGTTCCTAACTGGATAACTTAACTATGAAAATGAGATAATTCTATTAAATGAACTAACTAAAAGTAATAATTATAGAAAATACATGGTTCCGTTTTTAATATCAGAGCTTAAGGAAAAACAAATTGGCTTTATTTGTGTTCAGAAATTAATCCACTTTTCTTATGATAGAATTAAACATTAGACTTTAAATTCATGTTGATTTGTAACTATTTTTATAGTGAAACAGTGACAATGGTAATAATTGTGTTGGGCATAATAGTTTTTTAAAGAAGGGAATCTGTTTGTTGCTTTTGAAAATATTTTGCAGAGTAGGGGAAGAAAGTTTACAGAGTTTCCAAGCACATTTATGTTTCTCAGTGCTGTTATTAATGTTTTTTTTTAAAAAAGGGATTTGTTTCTTTTTGTAGGAGCTTAGTAGTAACTATTCTTTACAGTTCTGTGAAAGGACTTATTTTTTTCACTGTAATATTTATTAAAAATATTTGTATCACTTGTAATGATTTATTTGAACTTTTTCTATGTATTATTTTCTAAAAGAATATACTTATTAGTTGAATGGGGATAAAGCTTTTAGATATTTTCTAAAATATTTATAAAATACTTCATTGACTATTGAGAAATCACTTCCAAAATGGTGGCTATCAGACAACTATTAATTTTTAAAGCACAAATCACACATTTGGTGACGGCTGTGTGGATCTCTTTTAACCGTGGCCTTCAACTAAAAACATCAGATGTGTTTTGGAGAAGTCTCGGTGTGAGAACGCCAGAGGGAGCTGCCCCGGCGTCGAACGTAGCTAGCTGTGGGTGACAGTGCTTCATTGACCGCGCTTCCTCACGAAACCTGAACTGAGTCACGTTGCGGGGTAACGTCACTGTAACATTGCCCTCTTGCAGTTCAATAAACCAGCTTTGCCAAAAAAAGGAGTTGTGTTACCACCGGTGCCGCTGGGCCGGCTCCCTGGTTACCCCGTGGCCGAGAAAGACTTTCCAGCGGGAGGGTGTGCTGTGTGTGTGTTTTTCTTCCACTAAACGACACTTTGTTCACCACTTTGGTAATGACAGGTGTCTGGAATACACATTTCATGCTAAGGCATATGCTACTTTAAGAGTTAGTTTTAGGAAAGCTGTCTTTTCCTGGTGGGTGTTGGGACTTGTTTCCATCTGATGGGCTTTGTTTCTGAAATCGGTGTCCCCTGTAAAAATGCTTCTGTCTGGGCATTTCAAAAGTTAAATTTTCCATTCTGTTCAAACATTTTCCAGACTAAGACTTATGCTTGAGTTTGGATGCATTTGTGAAAATGTATGCATAGCTTTGTGTACAACCTTCCAGTAACAATGTGGTGGGCAGGGCTGAAAACGTGGCTTTCACGTTTAATAAGCCCAGTTGACAGTGTTCTATTTGGACCCAAAGATCTTTGTGACGTCTTTTTTTCCCCCTTAACTTTGACAGTCATTAAATGCAAGTATCGAAATATGCTGTTTTTAGCCCCGGTTAGTGTGGCTCAGGGGATTGAGTGCCAAACTACGAAGCAAAGGATCAGTGGTTCGATTCCTAGTCAGGGCACATGCCTGGGCTATAGGCCCGGTCCCCAGTAGGGGGCGCATGAGAGGCAACCACACATTGATGTTTCTCTCCCTGTCTTCCTCCCTCCCTCCCTTAAAAGTAAATAAATAAAATCTTATAAAAAATACACTGGGTTTAGAAACATGAAGTGTGAAATCAAGATTTTCAAAATAATGAAGCATATTAAATCCTACCAGTTCCATTCCATTCCTCCGTAGAACATTCCTGTAGGAGGAGGGGGAACTACTTTCGTCAACTCTTCTTCCAGGAGGAGCCTCGATTGCATGTGGTCTTCACATCCTCGCAGGCGGCATCCAGTATTGGATGTCATTTGCCTCCTCCACAAGCTCCCTCTTCCCCAAAGGGTCCGCCCTTTGACAATCACTCGTATCCATAAGTGATTCCTCTCGATTCTCCAACGATTTGGCTCCAAGAAGTTTGAAGAGGAAAAGCGTTCCTGATGTGGTGGTGGCTGAGTCATGCTTCGTGGAAATGAGCAGTGCAGGCCCCGTGCGGTGAAACAGCATCAGTGCTTCAGACTCTGCCGAGAACATGTGTCTTCTGGGAGTTGTGTTACATGAAAGTGAAAATGAAGTCACTCTGCTTTTAACTCCTTGATGAAGCTTAAAAAAACAAAGCAGCAATCCTTTAAAAAGGTAATGAGCTTAGAACACTGAAGTCCTCACCTTTTTTTCTTGAATCATGATGGCAAGCAAGGCCCATCCTGTTCTACCAACTACATCTTGGCGAGACCTCGACAGCCCATGTTCCCCCCTCGCAGCCTCGGTTTCCCCATCTGCAGAGTTGGGTCAGTAATGATACCTGTCCCCTCTTGTGCTTTCAGACAATCATTATTGGGTTGATTTAAACCAATGAAATCCTCATAGAAGCATGACTAGGACTCCTTTCTTTAATTGGCAGTCATTTCTAATACAGACTTCTTCACTTTCTGTTGTATTTTTGTCTTATGGGAGCCATCATCCCCACATTTCTCACAGCCAAAATCTTGGTTTTATGAGTTGAATTCAAATGAGATATTCATGACTTCAGATGCCCCCACAGCAGAAACAAAACAGAAAGCTACTGAACTTCCAAACTGTGTGCTCCAATCGAGTTTCCAAGCAGCACACAGGCTTGCTCAGATGACACCTCCTTACCACTGTCTGAAAGCCTCAGAGGTGACCCCCTGACTCGGCTGCACAGGCAGGCAACTTGTCTCCTACAAGCAGCTTTTCCACATCACTCTTTCTTCCCTTCAGCCAGGTTTTGGAACTCGGGCAAAGGCAGCCGCCTTAGGGAGGCAGAGGTTTGGGGCTTGAAATCCATTTCTGTTTTGGGGGCTGCCGGCCCAGTCACCCTCTCCCATCTCCACCCCCCTCCCCCTCTCCGGCAGGCAGCTCTGCCCCATGTCTAGGACCAAGGTGCTTTTTGAAGATGTGTGAAAATTTGGGTCCCCGGGGTAAAAAAGGTTGACTTCAAATTATGGAAACAAAACAAAATTAAGGAAACATTTAATGAAAGCCTCGGGGGAGCCCCCACCCCCAGTAGGGAGGGGTGCAGACCGTGTTATTCTGGGCCCTCTGGATCCCAGGCACGTGCGCCCTGGAGTGTCCACCGGTGAAGCATTCTTCCAGCTTTGTTCAGTGTCCTGTGTACCTGAGCAATCATCCCGGCTGAGGACCAGACTTCAGAATGGAAAAAAGGCCTTAAAAAAATAATGTCTTCTGTTATACTAGGAAACACTGTGTTGTTCCACCGAACGGTAAGAGCATGCGCGCTGGCAGAGGGGGGTGAGTGGGGTGGGGTGGGTGTGGAAGACAGTTCGCTGGCCTGTGGGGAGGACAGTAGAATTTCGTGTTTGCGTGAAAGCACGCGGAGATGATGTTGACGTAGAAATCGGGCATTGCTCATACTTGGTGCGTGGGTTGGTGGCACTGGCTGATGGGCAGACGCGTGATTCACACACACGGGATCAGTTACCCGGGGTCTGCAGTCCACCCGGGGCAGAGGTGGCCAGCAGCACCCCCAGCATTCACTCACTTTCGGTGGATTGCGACCATGTGGGTTTACCCATGCCTGGTTGGGTGGGTTTACTGGTAATATTATCTCAGGTGGTGACCTTTTGGTCATTCTGTCACAAGACTAGACTCCAGACCAGAATCAGGTCCTGGTCACAGGTGCTGAAGAAAGAGGCTGCAGATGGCAGGGCTGTGCCGGCACCATCAGGATACTCCCTCCGGGGACGGGGACGCAGACCAGGGTGTTTCCACGGTCACGCACAGGACGTTTAAGCTATTTCAGGGTGGCGGTTAGTTTGCCGCTGAGCCAGGAAATTCAAGGAAGGCAATTACTGGGACAGAATTAGGACAGGTAATGTTTACCTCTGTGACACTTGTGTTGAAATATGTTTGCAGTCAACAGCTTTCTCTTTCTTCTTTAACCTTTTATGGTGGGGACTTGGGCAGGTAACAACCCACAGGGTAAGATAACGAACCCCCACATGGCCACCTCCCAGCTTCACCCACACACGGCCAGTGGGGTTCTGTCTACATTCCCCTCCTCCTGCGTTTTGAAGAAAATCCCAAACAACCTGATTGTTTTTAAAGATATTTCATCAAATTAAGTCCCGCTGGTTGGGAAGCCATTTCTGCCTCTCCCTGGTGACTTCAGGTGTCTGCACTCTGATCTGAATGTGGCTTCCAGAGAGCGAATTGGCTTGGCAGTCCCACCTGCCAGGGAGTCTCCCTGTCACCTCATTTACGTCCAATGTCCTTGCCATTTATGTCGTCCATCGGAGAGACTTGCTCATTTTTCTGGACTCACGGGTGTATATGGAGTCATGCCAACTACACAGCAAACCCCTCATCTTTCTAACTGCCTCCTCAGGTCTTACTACAATGCTCTGAAAATGGGAAGTGATTAATAGCATTTTTAGACAACTTAAAATGTAAAGTTTGCTTAGCAATTTAGATACACAGGTGGGTGGCTCCTAAGAAAACATTATCCCTTTCTGCCCTTGACGCCTGAAGGAAGACAACAGCCGGTGATTGTATATTTTGTTTAATACTTGCATTGTTTCTATAGCGCAATTATAGCAATCTTTAAATTTACTTTTCATTACAAATATTTGTCAAGTTTTGTTTCAGAAACATTTTTCCTACTCTCTTGCACATGCACCCAGACACACTACAAAAAACTCATTCATAACACAGTAAGGGCAAACGTTATTCATGTAAACATCTTTCATTAATTTCCCATAATTTAAAAAAAACCATAGAATTATAGATATTGAATAAGGCTCATAGATTTAGTTCAAATTCCACAGAAGACCAGTCGAAGATGCTCATTAACTGTGCTGGGGTTAACTTTAGGTTGCAATAAATGCTGAAAGCCTACCCCTGGCTTCCGATCCATAAACATACCTCACAACCTCATAAATGCATTTCACAATAAAAAGAGAAGGTAGAAAACCCAGGAGGAAAAAGCTGTTGAAGTAGGGAGCTCAGAACCATGATCCAAATTTCTACTATGATAAGCAGGCATTACGTAGTCCCTGTATTTCCCAATACATGAATCAAGATTAATTATAATAACCCAAAATGTAACCAAGTCAATACGGTAAGATACATTGGCAGGTGTGTACATATTGCTAGTATACACAGTGAAATTTGTCATAAAAGTGATCATTTCATTATATCCAGGGCCAAAGCTGAAAAAGAAAACCCCTGCTCAAGTTGGAAATCATTATAAAGGAATATTTTAGTAACCTAAGAGTCGGGAGACTTGGGAGGTATGTCCTAGGGATGTGATTGGTCTGGGGACCGAAGTCCCAGACAGAGGAAGCGAGGACCGACGTTATCCGCGGGCGTCTCTCTCTGGTCCAAAGTTTGGTGCCTTCGTGCACAGTCTCCCAGAGCTGAGACAGGAAACGTGCTGTGCTGAGAAATGGGCCCCATGCCAGCTGCGCCCTCCTCCTGCCTCTCTGCGAGGGGGAGGCCAGGAAGCAGGGGCTGCTGGCAAAACCGTGAAGTCCCACCCTGGGGTCTGACCCCCAACTCCACTGAGGGCAGCCTCCCTGACATGTGTGACTAGGCAGTAAGGGTGGCGGTTGGTGGCGGCCAGAAAACCCGGTTCTGAGGTTCACATGGCCACGTCTGGCTTCTGATTCTGCTGCCCTGCAAAGAAATTGTGCTCTGGATAAATGCACCAGTGTCTCTAATGCCTTGAACCCACTCGCAGGCCCCCCAGGGCCCTGAGTGATGTCACTAAAAGGTGGACACACCTCCACGAGCACCTAACTTACACCAGGAAGCGGCTGAGGCACTGGGGAAACCTACAAGCTCTCTCGGCACCACACGCAACGACACGGGGAAGTTGCCTTGGGTCAGAGTTATTTGTAGGCTTTTGATTTGTAAAAATCAAAATTGATCTGCATTATATCTCAATAGACTCAGGTAATTCTCACCAAAAATTTTGCAATTTGTTTAAACAGCACTGGAATAATTCAACTTCATTTAAATATATTCATTCTACCATGAAAATATTTCATACAAACATCTATTTACATACAAACACATTAAAATTTGTGAAAAGGGTTCCCACCTTTGTGGTTGTATGGCTTGAAATTGTTTCATTGCTTTGAATATGTATGCACACATTTGGCAAAATAAAACCATTACAATTTAGAATTTTTTAAATAAAAAAGTGACACCGAGGCTTCAATTCCTGAAGGGAAGGATCAAAAAAAAAATACCAGTCTGTCAGGGGACCTCAAGCAGATGTAGATTTAATATATTTTGTGAACCTTTGATCTGTGGCAAATACACATCACAATGATCAGTCTTGCAACATAGTTTTGCTTGTTTTCCTAAAACAAAAGATGTCTGGATTCTAAATCACTACTCTTAAGACAGAAACTTGAGACAACTGTTTTCAAAGCAAAACAGGAAACTATTCCTTCTTGGAAGATCTTAAATGCATTTTGCAGGTGAGTGACTTAAATTTTTTTATGTGAAAGGAAAGTCACTCAAGTGCCACCTACTGTGTCACTGAGAAGACAGCCTTTGAATTTACTGCTTACAGTCACTGCGATTTTAAGTTACAATTGAATGTGGTAAATGGTTACCCTTGGCCTCCACCTTGGCCTTTTCAGATTGTTGGTGATAAGGAAATACTTTTTCAAGTGTGAAGAACCTCCTGGGGCCCAGGCAGGTTCCAAGAGGCCTTAAGAAATAGATTTCCTTCTTGGTTTCTCAGGTAGACCAGGGAGGAAGCAGGTTAAAATAAGAATAGGTCCTATAAAACTCAAGTGTTCCTCGCCTGTTGCTTTTTAATTTCATCTTTCCTTTGCATCGGAAATTCAGCTGCTGCAGCAGTTTTTGTTAGTCCATCCCAAAGTCCATCTGGGGACATAGCTCCTACGGATTAGTTCCTATTCCTAACACAAGAGACTAACTATTTCACCACAGAAAAGCTGCCAAGGATACAGGCCTGGTCATGCAGGAGTTGGGCTGAGATCGCTCTGAGTGAATCTCCTAGAGACCCATGGCGTCCTGCGCACACCCTGGGCGCTGGCCGGTTTTGGGGAGAGCAAAAGTGGTTTCTTTATTCCCCACCACATGGAATCGTCCACATTTTGTTGTGATTGATCCACAGTGATGCAAAGACTTGGCAGAAAAGTACACCCCGAGGCTTTCCCTTCGACTTTGGCTCTGACAGGAACAATCCCTTCCTTACCAGTTACTCCACTGCCTCGACTTCTTTCCCTACCTACGGATCAGTGAACCTCAAGCCCCCTCTGATTCTACCCCCTGACAAAGTCTTACATTTGTGAGTGTGTGTCTGTGTGTGTGTGTGTGTGGCAGGGGAGAGTGGGAGCCACCGAGCCAGACATGACACAGAGGAAATGGAGAGAGGGCCACACAGCTAGAAAGAGAGGTGGGGGGTGGGGTGGGGGGGGACTCTCCGAGCTGGAGAGACCAGCAAGGGAGGACCTCAGAACACTGAAGGAGAGAGAGGAACAGAGAAGAAGAGACCAGCTAGGGTACTGTTACCCAGACACCCAGGCCTTGTCACAGACAAGAGAGAAGGAGGGAGCAGAGCACAGGAGAAGCAAGAGCCAGAAGGCACCTGGCAGAGGGGAGGGAGGGAGGGAGGGAGGGAGAGGCCCTGCTCAGGTGTGTTTCCTCTGATTTGCCTGAAGGTCAACACACTGCTGGATTTTAAACTCAGTGTTATCATCCAGTATGCAATGGATTAGTTGGTTAATTACTACTTACAACTCTTTGATCCCTTTTATCAAAAAAAAAAAAAAGAAAGAAAAATAAGGAAGAAATAAAAGAAAGAAGAAAGGAAGAGAAATTCCATCAGAATGGGATAATTAGAATAACCCATTAGGACAGAAATTATACCCACTATAGTCTCAACCAGAGCGAGACAGCCCTCAGAAATGAAATCTTTCAGAGTGTGGCTGCCCCGGAGGTGTGACCTAGCTGTCCAGTCCCCGACCTCCCTCCCGAGTTGACTCCACTACTCAGCCCACGGGGGTCCATCAAAACCATCTTTCTCTTGCTAACAGCCTCTCTCACCTTGGGACCCATTTGACTCAAAGCACTAATCAGAATACATGCCCCAAAACTGCCCATCAGTCACAGTTTCCTGAACAGTCTCTTTCTACAGAATAGAAGCGATCCTATCCTGCTGGCTTTTCATCTAAAAATTCTCTCTGGTCCTTTGTGGGAGATCTTTCCGGCAGCCCCAACAACCTTTCCTGCATGAACCTTCAGCTCATCTCCAAGGAACCCGGCCACCTCGCTGCTCTGGCCCTGCTGGGGAGGGAGCTCCCGCAGCCTGGCCTTGCACAAAAAAAGGGAAGAGCGGCTTCTGCCACCATCTGTAGGGCTGAGACCTGTGCCCAGGGGCTGCGAGAACTGAAGGCTTTGAGCAGCCCCAGGCCAAGCACTTCTAAGAGCATTGGGAAACTGATAAGAACTATCAAACTCCCACCTGCCCTTTTCTTAACTCAGCCCCCTCCCAGTAAGCCTTCCCTACTCAGCCAGAGCTCGTTATGGGTCATGGCTTGGAAAGCTTTAGCTTTCAGGACCAAACTGGCTCAGGTAACAGGCGCCACCGTTGACACCTGCAGGTCAGAGTCGTTTTGCTCGTCAGACCTCCCGGCTGCCTTTCTAAGGCATCTAGAGTGGACACAGCTGTGGCATGTGGCGAGGGGACTTCCAAAACCCCCAAACTCTTGGGATTCATTCAGAGCAATCCCAGGTACGTTACATACCTAATTAGCTAAACTAAAAACAGGGACTTTCCTCCTTATTTCTGCAGCTGTGATTACACATGGCTTGGGAAAAGGCTGAAATGCTATTGATATCATTGCTTTTAAACTAGACAGGTGTTATTCTTAATTCACAATGCTCTGAAGCAGATTAGTACTTGGAAATTACACAGATGAAGAGTTTTAGCGTTCCGGTTTGATTTTACCTAGTGATCAGGATGTCTCTCATAATAGTAGTGATTTAAAAAAACACACACAACTTGTGAATTCTGCGTCAGAATTCAAGTTTGCTCTTGGACCTTTGAATGTGGTGCACTGTGCCACAAGTCAGGCTGCTGTGTGTTATGTACATTTGATGTGTGTGCACAAAGAAAAGGATTCCTAGCACTACTGAAGATACTGCAAAGTTGCCACAGTTACTGCTTAGAAACACTAATTTCCCTCTTTCCTTTCTTAAAATATATATTACAACTCTTCCATAACTTAATGCAAACAAAGTAAACTCTTCTCACATCTTAACGCAAAGATATCTTTGTTTGCATGCGAGAATAATAATGCTATAATAATACCCTGGCTCTAGGAGCCAGGTCTTCATAGTAGGACGTGATAATAAAACAATGATGCAGAAAGAGCCAGACAGACCTACATACTGGCGCTGACACAAACCCCATTTGGAAGTTTGCTCTTGAAAAAAGTGTCTAAGATAGAGAACAGGGCTGAGGGGTGAAATGACTCAAAAAGTGGGTTTCTGTTTGCTAGGGGAAAAAAACAAAGCCATTCTATTGCAAGATACAGATCAAAGGTTAAAAGGCAAATTATACTACATTTAGAGAATAAAAATGTAGTAATTCTCTATCCTCCACATGGCCCACCTGCAGGTGTGCTAACAATACACTTCCAGTTGGCCATAGGAAAAAACATCATGGAAAAACCACGGACTGAAAATGACTGAAAAACCCCTTTCCCTTTTTCAGTCTGATCATTTGGCATCTCTGAACCAGGTCCAGACTTGGACTTGAACCACCCAAGAACATCATGCTGTGTCAAGTGCTCGGCCATCCCTCTCTGTAGGGCGCTGCTGCAAGGCTAGCTAATTTTAAGTCTGGTATGAGCGATAGAATCAAACCTAGTTAGTGTGCGCGAGAGTCGCGGGCGCAGAGTGAGAGGATGTGATGTCACAGCACGAGCAGTCCCTGGTTGTCCCGTCGTCGCATAAACGGAGTGCATAGATCCGAGTTTCTGTTCCGGGTCTCTGGAGCCCAGAGCCGGGCCCTTCACTTCTGCTGGGCCGCCTGGAAGGCCTTCAGCTCCACCTGGTACCACTCGGGGGCTTCAGGCCCACTCTTCCCCGGGGGGCTGTGGTCATAGCCGTAGGCCACAGTGAGCTCCTCGTCGGCCTCCACAGCTCGGAGTGTGCGGATGCATTTGATGGACCCAAAACGGGGGTGGACAAACCTAGGCATCAAGATGTACACGGTCATTCCCGGGCGGGTTAGAAGCAAAGGCGGGGGTGTAGGGAGCTGATGGGGAAGTCACTCCTCGCCCCCCCCACCCCCCATGCTCTCCACTGACACCACGGGTGCATCCTCGGGGTGTGGTCCCCACATCGGCTTCACCCGGAGGTGCTCACAGGGGACTGTCCACCCCACCCAGACCTACTGGATTGGCACCTACGTTTTGATGACACCCCCAGGAGATTCACAGCCACATTAAAGTATCAAAAGCATTACTCTGTCTTCCTTTTCCAGCACATTCGGCATGCTTTATTTATAAACCAACAATCATGGTCAAAAACCCAAATCTGTCCTCAACGAGAAATGGAATCCAGTGCAGCCTGCCCGCATTTCAGCTCATCCGACCACCCGGCTGGGCCTGGGCGGCGAGGGCGGGGGAGGGGGGACTGCAGCGGGGCGCTCTGGAGTTGTAAGAAAGAGCCAGGCGGATTTTCCAAAGCAAAAAACTCTGTATTCTGCCCTCTGCCGATAGAGGGCGTGTTCTTTTCTAGCAAAAACATGGATGGATGAGGATTTCTGGCCAAGAGGGAAGTCCAGGCCTTCCGCTGACCTGCATTAACATTTCTCTGTGGGGCCTCCTGCAAAGGAAGCGGCCTCCCCTCCAGTTTCCATGCCTCGCGGAGGCGTCGCTCTTGCTCTGTGGCGCTCCTCTGCCCGAGCCTCCCACGCCACCCACCTGCCCTGCTCTCTTCAGGAGGACAGGAAATAGGTAAGTGTTGGACTCCCCCAGCAGCTGCTGAAACCCAAAATGCGCATATGTGAGGTGTGGCCCAAAAGAAATAAGCTTGTTTTATATGCATCTGGTCAGAAAACTGTCATGCATTTAAGTCACACTTTTAACCAAAGGCGTTGAGACAGCGGAGGAGAAGGTCCCAGACCTAAAGTTGGATTGGCACATGGGGCATGACAGGGTGTCCTCGGCTGGCTCCCTCTATCGGGGGTGGGAAAGTCATGGGTCTGTGGCTTAGGGGCCTCTTCTGTGTGGGGTGAAAAGGAACAATGTCATCTTCATTTGAAGGGACTGCTGTGGCCATCCAAACCAGGGGTCGTGTCGGAGTGGCCACGGCACCCTGAGCTGGGGTCCGACGGCTTTACCGCATGCGGGTCCTGGTTGCACACGTGAAGACCTCCTCCCCTTGGAAAGCTCCACTCCAGTCTCTGAATCCCACCGTCCTTATAGCAGAATCCATGCTCGTGATTCTCATCTGCCAGGAGTGGCTGTTGCCGCAAAATAGGGCCACGTGCACCTCAGAGTGTCTGACACAATGTGAGGACTCAACTGATACTAGTTACTATAATGAGAGTGTGCACGTGTGTGAGAGTGCACGTGTGTGAGTGCGCACGCGCAAGAGTGCACACGTGTGAGAGTGCACGTGTGTGAGAGTGTGCACGTGGCAACGTGTGCATGTGCACGGAATTCTCAGGTTGCGCTCCATCGCAGAGCAGATCCCAGGGCCAGGGATTCAGGAATTCCTTATTAAAATCACAACGCTTTCTCTCAAATGAAAGCATTTCATTAAAACAAATACTCCTGAAACGGAGCTCTAGTTAATCTTCTGGAGCACTGAAAAAATCCCGTGAGCAGTCTGTGACTTCTCTTCATTTTCTTGCTCCTTATCGTTATTTTCAGAGAGTGGGAAATGGACAGACTGTAAAGAAAGAACGCGACTTCAGGTGCTGGTTCTTCAAGGCGGCACTAAAACACAACAGTCAAGAACGCCAACGCCTTTCCTGTCCGTAAGGGAGCCTGGGGAGAGAGGCAGCGGAGGTGCTGGGAGGATTGCACGCCATCCTGCAGGGGAGGCCGCAGCGCCCTGCAGCCCAGAGTAAGTGCGCAGGGAATGTCAGCGGCCCACCGCGGCGGCCCTTCCCCGTGTTACCCGTGCTCACAACTAGACAAGTGGTGCGTGACTGTCCACCCGCGCTCTGTAGCCGGCTGCAGGTAAAACGGCTTTTGGAGGCATCTGTTGTTGATGTGGAGTGTGCGTCTCAGTGATTTTAGAAACACATGAACGCCGTGAATCGGTGTCTGAATGTTATCTTTGATTGTTCTTCACAGAGTCTCCTCACTGCCCCAAACAACTAATTGGTTGCGTTGGGCTTGAAAAAACAACCCCGAAGAGTGTAGGGACTTGATTTTGCACAAACGGCTCCTTCTCTTGTCTCCTGTCCTTTTTGGTGAGAGATATTATGTCCTTGCAGTGAAATCACAGAGCTGATTTAAGACAGCCGTTGAAGTAGCTTTTATTACCATTGTTACCACTGCTTGAAATGGTTGTTGTTAAGCTGTGTGCAGCTTGCAAGACGCTTCAGCCTAATTCACATTGGCCACAAAAGCCTCGTAGTTTAATAAGAGTGTCAGTTTCGTTTCATGACACGCGTCCTTTGCCATTTCTACCTGCCTTTTCAGCAGAAGTTGGAGCTTCAGTGCTTGTTGCCAGCTGCCAAGGAGAGCGAGTCACTGCCAGAACCATTTTTAAGCCTCCTCAGGGATGCAATAAGGGACAGTCAAATCCTGGCAATTTTCTGACAGATTAAATGTGCACGATGGGATCGCACTTATGTTAACAAGCTGAAGGGCGGAGGGACTGCGAGCCACAGCTGAGCAGGGGAGGGTGCTGCAGCGGCTAGGGCTCCCAGGGAGAGCTGGCCTTCTGCGGCTGAGCAAAGCACAGCTGTGGCGAGAGCACACACGGTCCCAACCGTCCCCCGTAAGGAATTTAAGTCAGAGAGGCTTGATTTTGGGAAGAGAGCATTAAGGAGGAACATGAAAACTACTAAAATATTTGTAGGCCAACTATGTGGAGAGATGGACATACTGCACCAGAAAGAAAGGAGACAGGACCAAGGGCTGGACGTTACAGGGAAGCCCATGTGGGCTCAATACAAAAGGACATTCGAAGAGCCCAGACGCTAATTCCAGAATGTCTATTTGTTTGCCCAGGCAGCCACCTTTGTGGATAACAGTAAGCCCCCCCAACAACAGAGGTTTCCAAGAAGAGGTTCAGCAAGCAGTTGGAAGAGGAGACTCAAACTCCAAGAGGAAGGTAGGATTATTTGATTTAAAAAAAATAACAGCTGTGTTGAGATACAATTCACACTATCATAACATTCACCCATTTAGTGTCCAATGCAGTAGTTTTCAGTGCTGCAACCCTCACCACTGACAAATTTGAAAACCTTTCTCCACCCTCAGACCTCATATCCAGTTGCATGGACCCCCTTCTCCCCAGTCCCCCGGCTCCAGACAACCACTGACTTGCACTGTCTCTAGGAATGTGGCTATACTGGACAAGTCACAGGAATGGTCCTTTGTGACTGGCTTCTGGCTCCTGGCATAACGTTTTCAAGGCTCATCCATGTGGCACTTGTCAATATTTCCCTCCTCTTCACTGTCAAATAATAGGGATTCTTTGATTTTGTAGGCCTTCCACAACACTGAGACCACACACCCTATGCTTCGGATTTTTTCCTCCTTTTTTTCCATGCTGTAAAAGCCTTCCCTACTCTCCTATATGCAGAGTCATTTCAATTTTCACTATTATTTCACATAGCACTATTCTTAATTTTCTAGAATGAGACAATGGATAGGCCAAAAACCTACAATAAGACAGCAACCACTAAATATAGTATTTCGATAGCATGCCTGCTCTTCAAAGTGCTGTCCATTTCTTAACCCGCCAAGACCACCGAGTGGGGTCGTTTAGAATCTGAGTTTCCAGTCATGGCCGCGAGGCCCTGGGCAGGGGACCCTTGGGTGTTCGGAGAGAGCAGCCACCTCTGGGGCAGGAGAAGAGGGTCGCCTCTTGCGTGTCTCTCCTGTCTCAGGACCCCGGGGCACGGTGTCACACTTACATGTCATAGAGACAGTTTGGAGTGAAGGAGTGGTTCGCCTTGTGTCCCAAGGAGGCACAGTACTTGGACACGCGGTTGTAGGGCTCAGGCACGTCAATGACCGTCTCTTCGTCGAGGGAGAGGGTATTCCCATTCAGGGCCCAGTCCCTGCTGTCCACCTGCAAGAGACAAGACAGCGAGCATCAGAAAGGACCTTTCTCCCCAAAGCTCAGAGGACACCAGAGGTGTGAGCTCAGGGACCGAGCGCCACGAACACAAAAAGAGCCCAAGGCTTCCTCCGCTGCTGATGGCGCAAAGGCACAGGGGCCCGTCACCAGCGGGCTCAGCTCGTCAGTTCTTGATTTTCTTCCTTATCTCATATGAAAAAAGGATTAAAAGTCCCTTACAAAGACAAACAAAAAATGTAACCAGATGTCTGGAGGTTGTTTATTTCTTCAATGCATGCTCAAACCTGTTACCTCAACAGCCTGCTGGCATTAAACGCCAATGTTTACATATCTGTTTGTTTTTTTAAGTAACCCTAAAAAGGAGAGTCTCAGCCATTTACAGCCTACTCTCAAGAGGACACCTCACCCTTCACCTGCTAGCAGAGAGTAAGATAAACCCAGGACCACAGAGACCCCAGATGGCCACTGTCCTTTGGAGTTCTTTGGCCCAGCCCCTCCTCACTGTGTTCCATGTCACACAGACGTGGGCACTCACTTTGATCCCCTGCTTTCCCAGGAGTTAGTTCCCTGCCCCCTTCCTGTCTCGGATGGTGGCTCCTGTGCTGGAAATAGTGCATGCTGGGAGGACATCTCCTCTCACTCAGCTTTGTCCACACCCTACCCAAAGCTTGCTGGGTGCTGCTGCCTCTCATGCTGAAATCTTTCTCTTTCATCTGCACCCCAACCCTTGAGTCCCTACGGTGGGGAAGAGGAGGCAAAACAAACAAAAGGGAGAACATCCAATGGAACCAGAAATGAAAGGAAGGCACACCTGTGCGCCAGGTAAATCCCACACCTGTTACAGGTGGGCAATCGCCGTGGCCAGCCCAGCGCCTTCCCATCTACAACAGGCCTCACTGTCCGCAGGGCTGCCAGCCGCCTTCCCTTCTCCCCTCCAGCCCCAGGGTGTGTGGGTGCCGACTGAGCAGACTTTGGACCAAACAGGATCACATTTTCATACAAAACTCTTGGCTCTCAGAGGTATACCATCTCTCCTACCTCAATTACAATTAAGCTGTTACTTGTTTCTCATATTCGTTCAAGAGGTATTTACTGAGTGCCTACTGTATGCCAGGCACCATTCTCGGTAGGGATACAGCAGGGGTGAAAGGGGGAAAATCTTTATGGGTCTTAATATTCCAGACCTGCCATGTGACACTCATAGATGGCACTTGGTACCATTTATGTTATGGTGCCATTAGTTGTGTGTTCTTCTTATCTTCCCATCAGACGCTAAGTTGCATGCGGACGAGGAGGGTGCCTCATTCATTTATACAGTAGAGCCTACTGCGTGTCCTCACAGAGCGAGATTCCGCTCTGTGAAACGCTGTGTGGACTCTGTGAGTCACCGAATTGCTGACCTTGGGCCAAGTGCTTGACCTTTCTGGGCTTCAGTTTCCTTGTCTGTAAAATGTTTGAATAAGTAAATTATCGGTCACTACCCTGTGCCACGTTTCGTGTGCTGCATTTCTGTGACTTTCAGGGCTGCCTCAGGGGACCCCCTGGACACCAAGCGCCAGGCCACAGTTCAGGCTGCGTGCAGCTCAAGGTGCGTGACTGTGAAGAATGAGCAATAACTCGATCATTGCAGGGCATTCCCCCAATTGTTCCATAACAATAAGAGGAAAAGTGAAGACATGTATGTAGTATGTGAGCATAAGTCCCGTGAGTTTACTCCAAGTCAGGCCAGGATGGAGAGTCCAAGCTGCACCAAGACCCTCAAGCTTTTTGCCCTCAGGCCAACACTTCAGGATGTTAAACTGCGCAATGAAGAAGTAAGAACAGAGAACATCAAATCTGGGAAACACCTCAAAGATTGTGTCTTAAAGGCAAGAGGTGATTCAACTCTAACTTTTTATTTTTAATTTTGTCGGTGGGGGGGTGGGCAATAGAACCCTTCCTGGCTAGGTGTGGGTGACCCTACGGCTTTTGCACAAACAGAAGGGGGGTCTTCTTACGAAGCGCCCTGCCCAGGATCAGAGACTAGATACTGAGAATCCAACTGCACCTGTTTTTCAGACACTGAGCACAGTCCCATACAAAGCCATTACTGTCTCATCGATGGCACCATCCCACTTTCTGTAACATAGTTGTGGAACTTGAAAAATCATTTTAAGGCTCAAAATGGAAAGGACAATTAAAAAATATTTTATGGCTCAAAATAAAGAGGAAAACATCTGCTGTAACAGAACGTTTGTGTTCCCCTCCCCCCAAATCGTACATTGAAACCTAATCCCCAATGTGATGTTAGGAGGTGACTAGGTCACAAGGGGGCGTCCCTCATGAATGGGATTAGTGCCCCTATGAAGGAGGCCGCAGGGAGCTCTGTCTTCCCTCCTGCCACTGGAGGTTACAGAGAAGAGGAGGCCATCTGTGAACCAGGGAGCAGGCTCTCAGCAGACACTGAACATGCTCACACCTTGATCTTGGACTTTGGAGCCTCCAGAACTCTGAGAAATAAAGGTGTGTTGTTCACAAGCCACCCAGTCTGTGGGATTGTTTGCTACAGCAGCCTAAAGACCGCTATCAGACAATGTCCAATCAACTTCACAAAAAAAGTCTGTTGGTCTGTTCCTTTATACTTCCAGTGAATACTGACACAAGGGGACTAAGGAGAAGATTGAGGGTGTTTGAAACAAAGCCTTTAACCAATCCGGTTGATTTTCCTCTTCGACCCCACTCACCTCTTGGTGTGTAATCCGGACTCCATTATAAAAAGACATAACAGTGTTGGGTCCCACTGCGATCTTTGAAAACAGTCCTTCTCCAGCACTGGAAATGAGAGATTCTGCAACATAAACCCTACGGAGCAAAAAGAGTCGAATCACAATTGTTTAAGTTTGCTGTGTCTTTGATGTGCCCCTTACATCAACCACCAAAATATCATATGGCTACTGACTCCAAAATGTCAGTTCACAATAATCCAGTGAGGGAGGGAGGGAGGGAGGGAGGGAGGAAGGAAGGAAAGTTAAATCATAATATTTGATGTTGGAAAGTAAAAGAACTGGCATTTAAGTCTCTTTTAAGAGTGGCATTTAAAATTTGCTCTCTAATAAAAGGGTGAGTATGATATATTCATAAAGCAACTCAGTTCATATATTCATATATCAATTCAACTTGATATAAAGTTTTAAAATATTTTGAATATTCTTTTTTTTCAATTTTTTTATTGATTATGCTGTTACAGTTCTATTTCCCCCCTTCATTCCCCTCCACCCTACCCCCCCTCCCCACCATTACCCCCCCTTTAGTTTATGACCATGTGTCTCAAGTCCTTTAGATTCTATATTTCCCATGCTATTCTTGCCCCCCCATCTATTTTCTATCTACTGTCTATGCTACTTATTTTCTGTACCTTCTCCCCCCTTCTCCTCCTCCCACTCCCCTGTTGCTAACCCTCCTTGAGATCTTCATTTCTATGTTTCCACTCCTGATCTAGCTGTCCTTTTAGTTTGCTTTTGTTTTAGGTGTAGTTGTTAATAACTGTGAGTTTGTTGTCCTTTCACTGTTCATGTTTCTTTAACTTCTTTTTCTTAGATAAGTCCCTTTAACATTTCATATAATAAGGGCTTGGTGATGATGAACTCCTTGAATTTGATCTTATGTGAGAAGCACTTTATCTGTCCTTCCATTCTAAATGAAAGTTTTGCTGGATAGAGCAATCTTGGTTGTAGGTCTTTGGATTTCATGACTTGGAATACCTCTTTCCAGCCCCTTCTTGCCTGTAAGGTCTCTTTTGAGAAATCAGCTGACAGTCTGATGGGGACTCCTTTGTAGGTGACTGTCCCCTTAGCTCTTGCTGCTTCTAGGATTCTCTCCTTCATTTTAATCTTGGCTAATGTAATGATGATGTGCCTTGGTGTGTTCCTTCTTGGGTCCAACTTCTTTGGTACTCTCTGAGCGTCCTGGATTTCCTGGAAGTCTATTTCCTTTGCCAGATTGGGGAAATTCTCCTTTATTATTTTTTCAAATAAGTTTTCCACTTGTGGCTGTTCCTCTTCCCCTTCTGGTACCCCTATAATTCGGATGTTGGAGCGTTTAAAGATGTCCTGGAGGTTCCTAAGAGTCTCATTTCTTTGAATTCTTGCTTCTTGACTCTTTTCTGTTTGGCCATTATTTGCTTTCTTCTGGTCCACTCCATTGATTTGAGTCCTAGTTTCCTTTTCATTGCTATTGGTGTCCTGTGCAATTCCATTCATTTCAATTAGTTTCGCCTTCATATATTTATCTAATTTGTGGCTATAATCAACCAGTTCTGTGAGGATCCTGATGACCAGTGTTTTAAACTGTGCGTCTGAGAGTTTTGCTATTTCTTCATCGCTTAGATCTATGGGCTGTGGGGCTTTGAGATCTTGCAACATTTTTGGTCTGTTCGCGCCCTTTAAGTGTGAGGAGGCGGAGCCTTGGACTCCCAGGTCGCTTGGTTGTGACGCTATATTTGGGGGCGTGGTCAGAGCGGGGAAAATGGCGACCCCCTCTGCTGTTTGTCACAGCTGGGTGAGGATCAGCGTCTTAGGTGGTTCACCTGTGCCGGGCCACTCAGAGGCGCTGGGTTATGACGCTGTAATGTGGAGGTGGGGTCAGAGCAGGGAAATGGCGGCACCCTCCACTGCCCTTGCTGCGGGACCCGCAGGTCCCCGGTCCAACCGCCCACTCCCTCGCCTGTCCGCCTGGGCACAAATGCGCGACCACAGTCAACACGCAGCACCGCTCCTCCGCTGTCTCCCCCGCAGTCGCTCACTAGGTCCAACCCTGCACCTGGATTCCGCGAGTCTGGATTCCGGCCTGAGTCCGTCTGGCCGAGTTTTCCTGTGCAACCCCGCTTCACCAGCCACTGGTTTCGCCCCTTACCGGTCAGGCTGAAGAATTTGTTGTTAACGGACTTCCGAAAAGTTCAATTTTCCGTGTTCTGGCTGTGTTTTCTGTTGCTAATATTTAGTTGTCTCTAAACTTGGTTGTGTGAGAAGGCACGGCACATCCACCTATGCCTCCATCTTGGCGGAATGAATATTCTTAAATAATGTCAATTTTCACTGTCTTCCTGGACAAATAAAAAGCATTTTCCAAAATTAATTAAAGCTACACTCCAGTTTGTCAGCACCAAATAGGGACTTTTAATCAGTTACAGGATGAATGTTTTACGTGGAAGAGCAACAAACAGTCAATAAGCACTTTCCCAAAAAGGAGTTTGTAACGCATCAGCTCACTATGACCTGAGGGCCCAGTCTGGCTGCTGCCCCTTTTTGTAAATAAAGTTTTATTGGAACACGGCCACATCTGTTTGTTTTACATTATCTGCGACAGCTTTCCCATTATAAAGGCAGAGCTCACTAGTTGCAAACAAAGAACAGCAAAGCCTAAGATATTTCCTACGTGGCCTTTTACAATAAAACTTTGCCTACCGCTTGTTCTATAAAAAAAGAGACCTCATGAACTGGATGGAGCAAGAGAGTGCGTGTCCCACCAACAACTGTTTCAGTCCCTGAGCACTGAGGCCTCACGGCTGGTGGGACTTTTGTTACATGGAGCTGATGCTTATTTTGTGGATTAGCAGACTGAATTATTGCTTCCAACCCTTTACTCCCTCCCTGTCATAGAATTACACCTCCTGCCGCTTTGCCATGTGACCCTGTGGTGCCTCTTCAGAGCGGGCGGTGGACATGTCCCTGCTTGGCTGACTTTGAGCTTGGCCATCAGATCTGCTGCCAACAGGAACGTGGGCAGAAGTGACTGCATGCCAGGTCTCGGGCACCAAGGAGCATGGCAGGTTTCTGCCAGCCTCCTCCAGGGTTCCCATTCGTCTCCTCAAGAAGGAGGTGGTCCAGGGGGAGGCTAGTCCTTCAGCTTGAGTCTTGGAATGAAGAAAAGGGGAACAGACCTGAACCCAACTTGAAACCTGGAGCCTAGCCTAATCCAGCTGAGCTGCGCGAATTCAGTCAAGAGTGGCTGAACCTTGGCCAGCTCCAGAACCACGAGTGTAAAGGGAAAGGTTTGCATTTGTCAAACTTATCCACTAATCATTTGGATATCATTAGGCAGCGTCGTCACAATGGCAGTGACATTACAATGACAAGAAAGACTGATACATTGTTTAATGTACTGTTGTTGTGTTTCTGAGCTAGCAAGAGACCAACCCCTTCCCTTAGCAAATGGGGCCAGAGACTCATGTCAAGAAAGAGGCCATTCATTCCTTGTGACATTTGGGGTCAGCCCCGTCAGTTAAACCAGGGAAAAGGCCTGTTTCTGAGATGGGCACAGAAGGGAAATTGAATGGAGCTACGTTTTGAAAGCCAGGCTTACAGAAATGGAAGCCAAGAGAAAACCACCTGCAGATGGCGCTCTTACTCACCAATAGGCCAGTCGCTAGGGAGTAAGAACCCCAAACAGCACCAGAAGCCACACCAAGAACCGAGCTCCAAATTTAGGTAAGATAAGAAATGGAGCAGGACCTCACACTCTGGGAGTGAGTTTCTAGAATGAGACACTTGTCATTCTTGGGCTGGAATGTTTTTCTGCTTCTTCAAGTTTCTTCGTTTCCCTCCTGTTGTGCCTTAGTGAAGAAAGTGTCTTCCAGACCCTCTCAGCTGGGCTGGGTGGAAAAGAATTCTGGTGCCTGGCAGGCTGGAGCTTTAAGGAGTGCGGACTGCCCCCTAGAGGCCAGCATGCGGCTGCAGCACAAAGTGTGCCGCCAGAGCCCGAGGTAGGGGACCCCTGGGCAGGGCGTGGCTGGCTCCCTGGCCCTGCCACTTCTCCAGAACCCACATGTGGCTGCTCTGTGCTTTGTGAGTGGGGCAACTCTCTTACAGGGATGGATTTTATATGCAGTTAAAACAGTCTTCCTCGAAATAGGTGAACATTTTTTTTTTCTGGTCATGAACTCAGCCTGAGCAGAGAGCCACAGAGGACCACAGGCTGCCCCCACTAGGGTTATTTAACCTCCCACACACGCAGTGCCACGTAAACCACAAGGGAAAAAATACCTCTCTGATTCGTAGGGATCTGGAAGGAGAGCATCGGTGGAAATGCAAGACGAAGTTGACTTGTCGAAGTGGAACACGGAACCTGAGAAGCAAACAAAAATCTCAGTAGGGGAAAGCACTGAAAACATTCCTCTCTATCCATGGGGCTGGAAGGAGTTAAATAACAAAAAGTGGTATTCAACCGGTACCAACTAGAAGGGAATTCTTCAGTGTCAGTGGACAGTTTGTAGATTTGCTCCTGAGTTTTTAGATTCAGGTGATAATGAACAGCCATTACAGGGGTCTCTTAAAATGCTGTTTTTTCTTTTGAAAGTTCTTTATTCAAATGGTTTAAGCAATGTTTGTGTAATTAAATATTTTAATGGAGAAAATGCTTTGCATGAAATGTTGAAGTCTGTCTGGTCAGATTGGATTGGAGAATGGTTTTAAATTTTTCTTGCGGTTTTCTTCATACTAGACATAGTCTGTGGATTCTAGGCACCCCCCAACCCCCGCCACCCCCAGCAATTGTCTCCTTCACTAAAAATAAACGTTGGGCTTTACCAGAGTTAAAGAGAACAGAACTACTGTTGGTGAAGCATTTACAAAGTCATCCTATTTCTCTTAAAGTGGTTCAGAAGCCAATTAGTAATTTATTCCAGAACGTACAGCCTTAGAATTCGCAACCATCCTAGAATTAACACTGGGTCTCTGCAAAGAACTAGCCTGAGCCTCGGAGGACCCTCCCAGAGCACAGTGAAGACACACGACGCTCCAAAGGCTAATGAGTAAAGAAACAAGTGTTGGAACTGGAGGGCTTCCTTCTGCAAAGTCAATTATTTTAGGCAATAAGGCATCACAAATAATTCCATTAAGCAATTCCTTAGTGGCTCCCAATGGTTACCAGATCCTCTGTTGTTGTTTTTTTAAATACAATCAAAACCCAAATTAATGTCTCAAACAAAAAGACAGAAAACAACCCAGTGAGTCAGTGTCTAACTAGGAAACAGATCCCTTGAGTATTGCAAGGAGAGAGAATTGGATTCAGGGATCGGAAACACAGAGGACGGGTCGAGAAGCCAGGCAGGGCAGGGAAGGGCCCAGAAATTGTCGAGAGCAGGAACCACAACCCTAAGCCAGAGGGTCAAAGGCAGGGCCGGGTTCCTGAAACTCCAGAGGTGATGTTCCTGGAGCTCTAAGAGCTGGGGTCCCAGAACCTCTAGAGTTGCCATTCCTGGGGCTCAAGAGCTAGGGACAGTGCTGGGAAGCTGGAACCGTGGGGATCTCCCTGGAGTCAGGAGGCAGGCCACTGCCGGAGGCAGTGCTGGACAGAGAGGGCTTCTCCCTGCTCCCTTCTTTCTTGTGTCCCGGACCAGGGCCTGTCTGTGGCCAAACCCAGAGGCACGGGAGCCCGGGAAAGGCTGAGGTAGGTGTCTGAGAGCACACATCTGCAAGGCCACTGGTAATGGACCAGAGCACATGCTATTAAAGGAAGCTAATTTTAAAAAAGGGGGGACCCTTTTTAAGCACTCTTCTATTGTGCAGGAATCCTTCTGTGAACTGGCATGTCCTGGCCTTAGACTGGCACGTTCATCCCGAATGTTCTAAGTGCCAAGCCCAGGCACAGCACTGGGTTAGGGGCTGTGCAGACACCAGCAGGGGTAACATCGCTTCCTGCTTTCAAGGAGTCAACGGCACCTTTTCCAGCACTTGCAGCTTGATGCTCCAGGCAAACCAAAGGCACCTGTCTTGTCCCTCCTTTCCTCTAACTTATACGAGGACCTCTGACCAGAAGGCATTCATGCACGTGACAAACGTTAATTCCAAAAGGTGTGCTAAGTCTTAAAGCTGGAACAGGAACTGGCCAGGGACAGGGATTCCTGTGTGCAGAGGGGAAGTGATGGAGAGAAGAAATTCCAGCCAGACGTGCAAGGAGGAAATCTGCAGGAAGAAAGTGGCGACCCAGAAGCAAGTACGGTTATAGAGGCAGAAAGAGAAAGGGTGGGGTGGTGAGGTCGGGGGAGAGGTCAAAGAGGAGAGGTCATGGGGGAGGCAAGTCTGGAGTGTGTCAGGTGAGAAATCTGCATTCCGTTTTCCTACTCCTCCCTCAACCACTGGGCCAGAGGGCCACAGGGCCCTCTAAGCTGGGATAAGTCAGCTAATCAGCGTTCAATAAATGTCCCCGAAGGAGGCAGTGGGGGAGGAACAGAAGCAGCAGAACATGAGAGATCTGTGCCTGGCTGCTTCTGAGTCACTCCCAAAGGAGCCACAGTCCCTGACCCTCCCGAGACCCAACTTGTTCAACAGTCAGTTGTTTAAAGAGCTGAGGCCTGCCAGGATTGCCGACACGCCCTGCCCTGGCCCTTTTTTTTTTTCCCCTTAAGTTAGTTTGAAGAACGTGTTTGTTATTTGCAACCAGGAGTTCCAAGAAAAACCATCATTCCCCGGAGAACTATCACTTTCACTTCCCCAAATCTGTTTCTTACGAAGACCAAGAAGAATGTAATAACAACAGCTTTCATTACAGTGTGTTATGGTAGGTGCCCAAATCTGTATTACATAATAAAGAAACAGGTTCTGAAAAGATAAATGAAAATAACCTGCCCAAGAATATAATACAGTAAATGTTGGAGCCCAGACTCCAATTAGGTGATTTTTCCCCCCACGGTCATTATTTACTCTTTTATAAAATGTTAAATTTATTGAGATAGTATTAGCTAATACCATGATGTAAGCTTCAGATATATCACTTTATAATAGAGCATCTGTATGACTAAGCTGTAGATCCACCCAAAGTCCAGTGTCCTCCAGTCACCATACATTTGGCCCCTGTACCCTCTTCACAAATAAGGCAAGGAGGCTTAAGTCCGAGGACCTTGCCACTAAAAATGCTGCCACTTCTGAGGTTTTATTTCTTTAATATTTATTTATTTTTAGAGGGGGGAAGGGAGGAAGAAAGAGAGGGAGAGAAACATCAATGTGTGGTTGCCTCTCACGCACCCCTCACTGGGGACCTGGCCCGTAACCCAGGCATGTGCCCTGACTGAGAATCGAACCAATGACCCTTTGGTTGGCAGGCCGGTGGTCAGACCACTGAACCACCCCAGCCAGGGCCACTTCTGAGGTTTTAAAATTGGTATCACCGGTTGGGATCCTCTGGCCCAAGTCCCCTCAATGCTAAACATTACGACGCCATCTCCTTTCAGAACCAAATGTGAAGAGCACAGATATGAGAGTCTGAAGTTCAAAGACTGCTCTTTCACTTAAACATTTTTTGGATTTTGGAATAATTTGAAATTTACAAAGAAGCCACAGATAGTACAGTGAGTTCCCAATGCCCCTCACTGTTTCTCCTAATGTTGGCTTTTTATGTCTCATGGTACATTTGTCAGAGCTGAAAAACCAGCAGAGCTACATTGCTATTAACTAAACTTCAGCCTTTATTCAGATTTGACTGGTTTTTCCACTGACGTCCCTTTCTGTTCCCAGAGCCAATCCAGAACCCTGCATTGCAATTACATGGCCTTAAATTTTAACTTAGAACAAAGACCAAAAAAAAAAATGACACATTTAAAACAACCCAAGTTGGACCTAAGTGCAAAATGCCAGATGTTCTATTTTTGGACAGCATCCCTTTGGAGTCTCTACAGATTATAAATAGCTAAAGATTATTTAGGCCTATTTATGCCTACACTTAGTATCTGTTCTGCTTTTTTTCTTTTATAACTTAACTTGGAAACACAGCATCATAGTGGTCCAGACAAAGAAGTGAACTTTGACAAGTAAGCCCGAACAACCTGCTCTGGAATGAGAGCGGCCCGCTGGGAGCCCCCCAACTCACTTCCGGGCAGCAACTCGAAGTGAGGCCTGCCCTCCTCCGTGGACGTCAGCGTGGCCAGTTTCCCTTCTAGCATCTCTCCGTCGATGAATTTCCCGTACAGGGCCGTCCTCTGGTCCGGGTACACGTAGGCGATCTTCTCGCCAGTCATCTCCCCATCCTCGTTGACTTCACCTACAAGGCTGCCTCCATCCTGACGGGAGAAACCAAAATCCAGAAATGCTATAAACAGGGTTTATCTATATGCACGGGTCTCAAGAAATTTCTCGTGTGCACTCTCCTATTCTTAATAGCACTGACGTGGATCGGGATAGTAGAAGGACTCGGAGCTCTTCAGAGGAATGAGGAAAACCTGGCGCCTGGCTCCGCCTCCAGCCGCACTGGGAGGGACTGGCAGAGGTTCCAGACCGTGCGTGGGGGCACAGCGCCTGAGACCGAGTCCGGGAGGCTGAGTCCCACGTTAGGATCCCGGACAAGTTACTGATACCTGATCTTGGTTTGTTATCTAAGAAGCAGATAGGCCCCACTGGTCATGTTAGTTACAAACAGTGCAAGACAGTAGAACTAAGTGTTCTTTGGGCCGTGAGCAAAGGTTGATGAGGGTCTCTGGTGAGGCAGGAAGCTATCCACACAATGTTGACTTTTGGATTTCTGGTCAGTTAAGAACATCTTTAGTTCAATGCACTTAGTTAATTTGGTGCCCATGAGTACAGAGAGTTGGCTGCATTTTCTAAGAGATCAACTACAGGACCTCTGGATACGGCCTCTCTGAGAATCCCAAACCATCACTTTGGAGTCGGAAGGAAAAGTGAAAAAAGATCAGCAAGATTGCACTTGCTTCCCTGTCATGTCCTTTACCCCTCTTTTCTCTATTTATTGCTCCCTCTGGCCTGCTTTCCGGAGAGCAGCCAGCTGGGCGTCCTCGCCAAGGGCCATTTACTCCCTTCTACGGGTCATTCGCTGCTCTAGGGCCGAGGGTGTCATAGAGTTCTGTGTCCTGGTAAGTGCCAGGGACACAGTAGGTGACCCATAAATCCTTTTGTGAATTGAGCTGGGATACCAAAAAATAATCTAATGAACAATCAGAAAACAATCTAATCTTAAGGTACAAGAGATGGCCTTCCTTCCTTCCTTCCTTCCTTCCTTCCTTCCTTCCTTCCTTCTTCCCTTCCTTCCTTCCTTCCTTCCTTCCTTCCTTCCTTCCTTCCTTCCTTCCTTCCTTCCTTCCTTCCTTCCTTCCTCCCTCTTTTTTTTGCCATGCATAAGGGCCTTATGGTGTAACTTTGAAATGTGGGTTTGCTATAACAACAGTAATGCCAGGACATCTTCTAAAAGCTTGGTTATACCCCTAGCTCAGAGGTTCTAGGGGCAGCTGCCCACAGCCGGTGATGTAGGGTGACTCCCGAGTGACCCCCGAGTGACCCCCAGGCTGCTCTAACTGAGAGCCCGCAGGCATACGCAACACCAGGTACATGGTGTGTGCAGTTCCCTGAAGCCTACTTGTTCTTTGGGGAAAAAAGAGAAGGTTATAAATTAAAAAATGAATCACAGCGCTTCCATGGAAAGAAAAATACTTGGAAATGTTTTTCACAGATAGAAAGTACATTAGGGATATATTACTGCTTCTCCCCCTCCCGAGTTCATTCTAAATAGCCCAGCATATCAGGGATGATACTCTTTGCAAAATCGGCCTTCGGGCTTTCAGTGATTAACTGGGCTGAAGGGTGTTAGCGTGTTCTGCTTCTCACATGCTGGAGGGAATACAAGCCGCCATTACTACTTATTCTGTCTTTCTATTTTCTCTTAAATGCTTAAAGCTTCTGGTTTGGGGGGGGGGCAAGTGCATTTATTGGTCTGTCTGGAATGATAAAGCAGAGATTCTTCTTCTCTTCCCAAAAGACATTACAAATTTTTAATTAAAAACTTTGTAATTTTTTTTTACTAGTTCCAAGGTAAAATCGTGAAAGAAGGAAACTGTCCGTGGAGTGAGCTTATAAGTACTGCAGGGAGAATCATTATTATCACTATCCTTCCCTCCCTCTGTTCTTGCTGGAGCCCCACGCCACAAACCCTCCTTGTCCGCCGCGCCAGCGGGTGTTGGGGAAGCAGCTGCTGCTTCCTCCCCTCTGCTCACCCACTGACACCCGAGTTGCTGCTGGGTGAGCGGTTAATGGGATCAAGCTGCGGCCCCAGTGTGTCCTGCTTGCATTTTTGTCTCCCACCCCCCCCACCCTGTCCCCGTCCCAGGGCTGGAGCTGGCAGCCTGCAGGCACACCTGTTCCCTCTCCACTCTGACCCTCACCTTGGGCAAGCGCCCCGAGCAGGCCCTGCTCTCCCAGGGGAGACCGACAGCTTCCTAGCTGCTCTGTCTGCCACTGACCCATGTGTGCGGTGCAGAGGGCCGGGCAGAAGCCCACACCACATCCGCAGCCCACACTGCGACCCCTGACACCTGTGCCTATTTCTGAGCGCATTCAGAGGCCAAAGCAGAGGGGTGGGCTCAGCCCCCTCCCCTGCCGGCAGACACCAGAGTGTTGTCAACCCGGTTACTTTGAAAGTGTGTAGCTCCCCAGTGCTCCCTTCCTAAGGCAGAGTCTTCTCTCGGCATTTAATAAGATGATAAGGCCAAAAGCTAAAATGTAGCTGCACATTTAGATTTCAAGCTGCAGCTACACTGAGTCGGGTGGACCCATTCACACGCTGCATCTTGGATCTCCTCTGGGCACCGTAACTGATCACAGTGACAAGCAAAGTGGCCGGTAGTGGGAGAATCTGCTAATCCACGTTCTGCAGCTTTCCTATACCGTCCTCACTCAGGGAGTAACGCTTGCCCCGAATTCAAGAGTCATTGTCAAATCAGCAGCAAGATGCGCACTCCGCCTATTCAGGCGGCTGGCAAGTGTTAGTCCCTCTGAACTACTTAGGGCTCCACCACCTCCTGCCACTTCCAGGCGGCGTGAAAGGCCTCTGCTCTATTCCAGATCCTACCAAGGACACGTGTGAATGCTTCAGTAATTATTTAAAAAATGTTTTACAACGTTCTTATGGCCTGTTCCTAGAGTATGACACATCTTTTAAGAACAGTAACGTCAGCCCGGGCTGGTGTGGCTCAGTGGATGGAGTGCCGGCCTGCGAACCAAAGGGTCGTTGGTTCAATTCCCAGTCAGGGCACGTGCCTGGGTTGCAGGCCAGGTCCCTGGTTGGGGGTGCCCAGTCGACTGGTCAGTGTATCTCCCACAAACTGATGTTTCTCTCCCTCTCTTTCTCCCTCCCTTCCCCTCTCTTTGGAAAATAAATAAAATCTTTAAAAAAAAAAGAACAACAATACGTAAATAGATTTGGCTGGGACTACTTTTCTTATTACACATGTAATAGATGCTTGTTTTTATTAATACTTTTTAATCATAAGAAGATAGGGTTCAAAGTAAGAAAAAATGTACTTTCATTGAAGCTCTGGACATAATAAAATATTAGTTAAAACATTTCCTAAGGTCTATTTTTAGAAACATTTTCTGGAAGTTCACTAACAACAGATGGGGATATTTGAAATGCAAACAAAAATTAGAGCATTAATTCCCAACCATGGGGTTTCGCCACATCTTTTTTCTCTAGCAAACTCCAGAATATCATAACGTGTTATCAAATACTGAAAGGTATGTAAATTTTAATCACCTTAATTTAAGCAACACAAGCCATAAAGCACCTGAGAATCTAAAGGAATATGGTTATAAAATCAAGCAACTACAAGGTAGTACGTACAAAAAGATGGGGCATTGCTGGATTAGTTCTTACGTATGAGAAAAAGAATTAAATTAAAGGCAACAATGAAATATTTCACCGTCTCTTTCTATACTATAGCAAAATAAATGTTTTAGAAAACATGTATTTTTTGTCTTCGTTAGTGCTACAACGTAACCAGTTTGCCTCAACTTGCTTGAATCACAATTAGTCATGATTTTCCAGAGTGACGCTGAGAAGGGATTCATAAGCCAGTGGAAGGGCCAACAACCTAAGTCAGCAGTGCCAGGTCGTGGCTCCCACACTCTTGGCTTCAGCTGCTGTGACTCTCGAGTTTCACAGCTTCACAGAGCCTTACACAGACAGTACAGCCGACCCTTTACCGGGAAGAGTCAAAGCATTGCCTTAAAACATGCTGCCTTCCCACAAAATGGGCAGTCGCGAGGCTTACTGGGTAGTAGATCCAGCACACTCCGTGCCGGATGTTGTCCTTATATTGCCCCTTGAAGATCAGTCTCCCGTCCGTGTCGTACTCCTGCGCCGGCCCATTGAGCTCTCCGTCCACGTAGGTGCCCTGGAGGACGCCCCCGTCCTCATAGGTGTACACGCCCTGGCCCTGCAGGGCGTCGTCCACGTAGTAGCCCTCCAAGGTGCTGGGAGAGAAGGGAGAACAGAAGGAGTCGTCAGCCCACGGCTCAGGTCTCCAAAAAAAAAGGATCGCACCCGAGAACCACCAACCTGTGGTCAGTACATCCTCCTGGATGCTGCTGGATGGCTAGGAAGAAAAAACAACACTGTGAAGGGTTGGGGACAGAGCGGGAGAGTTCGTCCCTAATCTGGTTTCCACGGACCCATTGTCTCTGCAGGAAGAAGTAGAGAAGAAAGCAGCCCCGGGTGCAAAGTGAGAACAAGTCTCATCTGAGTATGTTTCCAAGACGGGTGCCGACCCCCAGCGGGCAGTAGGGATTCTGTCGTGGCCCTGTCCACAGAGAAGCCCCTCAGGCCTGACTTCCCTCCAGGTGGTCTCGAAGCCACGAGCAGACTCAGTGTCTTTCAGACGGCTTGAATAGACTGGTCTCCAATAATACCACTGTGGCTGAGAATGTATAGATGTCCACCTGTTCGTTTGAAATCACTAATGCATTGGTTCTCAGTGACAGCCATAAATGGGTGTCCAATCAAGAGAATCCCCCCTCCAGAGAAGCTACAGAGAAGTTTACTTAAGTGTGTGTGTGAGCACACGCAGGATCATGGAAAATGGGGGCAAGTAAGGAAAACCTCAGGTGAACCCTCGCCAGTATGCTAACACCTGATCATGTCTGAGACCCCAAGTCCGAGAACAGAAGGATGCTCAGAATGGTCTCACCTCGTAGTGATTTTACAAGCACCTCCCCGTCTTTCTCTCCTCCTAAGGCACTTGCAGAATTTCAGTAACGCATTTTCAGTGTTAGCTTCACAAAGGCCAGTATGCTGTGAAACTAACTTCACCAAAATCTCCCTTCACGGGCCGAAATTTGGAATAAGGGGGGACACCAACTCAGATTATTCTTCGAGTTTAGAATGTGAGATGTTTAGCAACAAAGACGGTTTGATTATTTTAACGTGCACAGATAGCATTCATTCATTAAACCAACTAACCAACATGGACAGGGTGCTTTCCGAGTCAAGAGCGTGCTGTGAGGGTCTGGAGTGCCCGATGCAGCGTGTCCTGGGGACAGGTGGGACGCAGGGGGACCTTGAGGACTGAGGTGGCTGCACCTGTGTCTGGTAAAGCCTTGTCTCGCTTTAACAAGTGACAGAATGATCTGTAATTATTAACTGAAAAGCACAGTCCAAATAACGCTAGCCTCTGATTACATTGTAATTATACCATTTGTTGCCTCCCAAGGAGATAAATAGTTCTCTTTCAGTTTTGTTTGTACTATGAATGACAAATGGGCTTATTTTAAAGTGCACTTTAGCAGAACCCTTGCATAAATCATCAAAATTCTAAATCAGCGAGGCTGGAATTAATGAGATTTGACTGCCATTAGACTCCCATAATTAAAAAAAAAACCCTGGTGAAGGATAACTAATCAACAGATATAATGATGCAATAAATATTGCGAAAAACCATTTCATCCTCTACATTTTTAGGACTGCTGGAGAAAATACAATTACATCTGAATTTCAGAAACACAGCAAATATTGGATGGGACATCGTGACACTAAAATATTTTTTGTTTTGTTGATCTGAAATGCCATTTTCCCTGGGTGCCCTGGATTTTTATTGGCTAACCCTGGCAACCAGATGGACTGGATTCTTAGCAGTGTTCAGAACTGAATTGTGTGTTGGGTGGAATTGGTTTGTCAATATTTCCCAGGTTTCTGATCAACTGTACAAGGCAGGGGGGTCCTGTGAATCTGTCAGACAATATATGGACTTAGACACGGTCTCCCCTGCCCACACCCAGCAGCTTTAATGAAGCCCACCCTTATTAGCCTCATAAGACCAAGAATAAACTGCCATTTCCTGTTAGCCCAGCTGATACAAGACACCCAAATGCAGATTCCTGAGGCCTTGGAGAGCAAAACTTTACTGTATTATTTTTAGCACCTGCCCGAGGAAACAGCTTCACTTCCTGGGTGAATATATGTACAGTGGCTTGGATGGCATCTGAAGACAAAAGTGGGGTGCATGTCTCCACACAGGGTCCCCCAGAGCAGGAAAATGACACAGCTCTGAAATCCTGTCGTGCAGGAAATAAAAGAAAAGCTTCTCAGTCTGGTGTTAGAGGAGCTAACCCCTCTTTCCAGCGCTTTGCTCCTCCTGAGGAGGTTGGCAAGCCAGGGCCTGCGGCCCATTTGTGTAAATATAGTGTCGTTGGGACACGGCCACGCACATCCCTCACATCCCTTCCCGGATCCTCCCTGGCTGCTTTCCTGTTACAACAGCAGAGCCGAAGGTTGCGACAGAGACTGTATGTGGCCTGAAAAGCCTGAAATATAGACCGGCTTGCCCTGGACAGAATATAGACTGGCTCTCCCTGCACAGAATATAGACTGGCTCACCCTGCACAGAAGAGGTTTGCTGGCTCCTGCCCCCAGCCCTCTGCTCCCCGCAGCTCATTTGCCAGCCCCCCCTCCCCCGCACACATCCGAGCCACCTAGCTTCCACACCGCGTTTGCCTTGTTTCTTCCCTTAAACCATAGGTGACCACACTTTTAAAATCCCTGAGGATACAATCAGGAAAAAAAAAGAAGTATAGGTCAACTTCTCTTTTGCCTAAATCCATGCGTTTGCTATCATTTAAAAATTCCCTTTAATTTTGAATACACAAACGTGGTCTTTGAACACTTAACAGCTTTGGCCTTCCCTTCACAGTTTTGGGGTCGAGCTGGTTGGGGGCTTTCTACTGCCTGAGCTGTAAACTCCCCCGATGTGGGCTCCCTCCCTCTGCCCGGCAGTACAGCAACATAAGAACCAAGAGGGAAATTTAAAATGAATCCTACTTCCCCTTCCCATCTATAACCAAATTAAACTGTGAATCTTATGAAAAACATTGCTTTAGGAATCATTTGATGTGACAATATATGTTATCTCTTAGAATATTGAAAAGTAAGTAAAGAAGAGCATCAACAGCAAAGCCAAACCATCTGCTGGGGTCCCTTCAACCAGAAGCTTCAGCTTCCCCCAAGGTTGTGCCGAGCGGCTGAGGGAAGCCCTGCCAGCTTCCATGTAACACACAGCACGTCTGCCTTCAAAGTCTTTCACCTTTCAGATCAGGGCCATCACACTGGTGTTCACTGGAGGCCACATCAGCCTCGCGGTTGCCTTCAAAGGGCCGAAATAATGTTAGGTCTATATAAACGTAACTAATTCTTAACTGTTAAGGAGTTGAAATTACACTCAGCCCTTTGAAGGCATTCCCACTCTTACAGGAAAGCCACAGAGTTCACCTCCGGGTTCCTCCGAACTTCCCACAGGGACAGCTAAGGAGTGACCTCAGGTGAAGGTAAGGCCTAGAAGAAAGGCCCTGGGGTGAGAGGTAGCTCCTTGATTCTGGTTACAGGAGGTAGTGGATGCAAGGGGAAGAGGGGTGGTTCTGGACTCGAGCTCCCCTTGGTTTGAGACTCCGCTCCAGCCCTCACCAGTGGGGCCCCTGGGCAAGTTACTGAACTGCCCTGTGCCTTGACTGCAACACATGTAAAACAGGTTGTAAAACTGACCTTGCAGATTGTTCCAAGTGAACAAGTGATAGGCATTCAAAGTTATCTATTCTTTCCACCCCTTTTCTTCTTGTGCACCCCCCCAAAGGTTTACCTTACTTGGGACTGTTTATCAGAAGACAGATGAATATATTGGTTGCTTCGAGTTCCAACAAAAGCTGGATGACTGTCAGAAAAAAGAAGACCTTTTTTCCTTTTATTTATTTATTTATTTTTTTAAAGGGAAGGAAAAAGAAACATCAATCCCCCCAGGGCCTAAATTTTTTAATTGATTATGCTGTTACAGTTGTTCTATTCCCCCCTTCATTCCCCTCCACCCTACCCCCCGTCCCCACCATTCCCCCCCTTTAGTTTATGACCATGTGTCTCAAGTCCTTTAGATTCTATATTTCCCATACTATTCTTGCCCCCCCGTCTATTTTCTATCTACTGTCTATGCTACTTATTTTCTGTACCTTCTCCCCCCTTCTCCTCCTCCCACTCCCCTCTTGCTAACCCTCCTTGAGATCTTCATTTCTATGTTTCCACTCCTGATCTAGCTGTCCTTTTCGTTTGCTTTTGTTTTAGGTGTGGTTGTTAATAACTGAGTTTGTTGTCCTTTCACTGTTCACGTTTCTTTAACTTCTTTTTCTTAGATAAGTCCCTTTAACATTTCATATAATAAGGGCTTGGTGATGATGAACTCCTTGAATTTGATCTTATCTGAGAAGCACCTTATCTGTCCTTCCATTCTAAATGAAAGTTTTGCTGGATAGAGCAATCTTGGTTGTAGGTCTTTGGATTTCATGACTTGGAATACCTCTTTCCAGCCCCTTCTTGCCTGTAAGGTCTCTTTTGAGAAATCAGCTGACAGTCTGATGGGGACTCCTTTGTAGGTGACTGTCCCCTTAGCTCTTGCTGCTTCTAGGATTCTCTCCTTCATTTTAATTTTGGCTAATGTAATTATGATGTGCCTTGGTGTGTTCCTTCTTGGGTCCAACTTCTTTGGGACTCTCTGAGCTTCCTGGATTTCTTGGAAGTCTATTTCCTTTGCCAGATTGGGGAAATTCTCCTTTATTATTTTTTCAAATAAGTTTTCTACTGGTGGCTGTGCCTTTCCCCCTTCTGGTACCCCTATAATTCGGATGTTGGAGTGTTTAAAGATGTCCTGGAGGTTCCTAAGACTCTCCTCATTTCTTTGAATTCTTGCTTCTTGACTCTTTTCTGTTTGGCCATTATTTGCTTTCTTCTGGTCCACTCCATTGATTTGAATCCCAGTTTCCTTTTCATTGCTATTGGTGTCCTGTGCAATTCCATTCATTTCAATTAGTTTCACCTTCATATATTTGTCTAATTTGTGGCTATAATCAACCAGTTCTGTGAGGATCCTGATGACCAGTGTTTTAAACTGTGCGTCTGAGAGTTTTGCTATTTCTTCATCGCTTAGATCTATGGGCTGTGGGGC